ATTCATGGACCACTTTTGGTGTGGCACCACTTACTTAGTGTAATGTAGCATTAAAAGTTATATATGCAATAGGCTAGAATTAACTCCCACCGAATGAGGTGGTGTAGGATTCTTAATGTAATGACAGTACTATTAATTAGTAAATAAAGTTTTGCATTTTATGCTTATTTGTAATAAAAAAAAAAAGAATTTATATCTTGAATAAAATTATTAAATTACTAGAAAATTGATAATATATAATTATATAAACTATTAAATAAAAAAAAAAATCTTTCCTACAACATCTTCATTTGTAGAAAATTGCTTTTTTAGGAAGCTTCTCTCTTTCAAGGAACTTTGTCTAGCAAAATATGTTCTTTATAGAGGAGACATAAACCGAAGAACTGATTTAGAGCAGTAGAGGTTTCAAGAATAAGATTGGTCCCTAGGGTTTCAGAAATGGTCCATGCTAAGAGGTTTAGTAACTAGTAACAGCACTGGATAATAACTTGGAATAGAGAAAATAAATAAAAAGAAAATTTTCTATATGAAGGTTATTCCTATACATAACTGCTACAAAACAATCACATATATTATTCTTAACTCATAAACAATCCTATTCTTAAGATACAGTATTTTATTTTTTAAAATTTTTTTGTTTTCTGCTGATGATAACTAGTGTTAGATTTTACATAATCTTCTGGCTAGTTATCAGTTCTCGCTCACAAATTTCAATACAAAAACCATAACCAGCTTACTTTATCAAATGATCTACAACTATAGTTCAAAAAATTGGAATCAAACAGGATTGCAGGGAATCATATAAGGTTCAGAACACTATTAAAAAAGATGGTGGTGTATACTCCACCTATTAAATTTAATATAAACTTGAAAATTGAATATAGAATCGAAGAGAATCATTAGAATCCTTATCTACAACATATAAAACATCAATCATACTCCATATTACCTTTATATACCAAAACAATATAACAACTTACCAGATTGGGAGAGTGTGTAATCAGTGCCCTGTGTGGGTTCCAATAATCACAATACACAATACTTTGCCAAAACAACATAATAAACATCTGTAACATATTTCAGTTATCCTATTATTTACATCACAATACAACTATATCATATAACAACAATATTACAAAGCACTACAATACCAAATCCATCGAGTTACATGTGGCTTGTGTGGTGCTGATATCTGACTGAAATACTTAATTGCATTCAGGAACCACATCTAACAAAAGTTTCAATTTTTTTTTTCTTTTTATTTAAATGTTTTATAATATCAATGATCTTGCCCAAATGTTTTTTTATTTTTTTATTTTTTCATAACAAATAGTTCCTCAGGTTATTTCTGCTCAAGGGTTTTTCAAATGATATATTTGTTGAATAAATGGTAGGCTAATATCTATAGTGATATAACTTATATCTTAGTATTAATCATGTAACAAGCTAAACTTTTACTTTATTAATAAAGATCATGAATAATGTCTTACTTTAACATTAAAAAAAAATGATATAAACTCTTATTTAAAACTGATATAATACTTTTATAAAATTAATTTAACACTTTAGTTTGCTAATACAAATAAATTAATAAAATATTAAAACCAAGTTTGTATTATAAAATAAAACAAATATAATATTGTTATTACAAATGATACAAAATAATAAATTTTTTAAAAAAATTTTAAAATCAATTTTAATAAATTATAAACCAATTTAAGTTTTAGCTTGTTAATAATATTATATAATAGTAAATAACTTCTTTTGTAATTTCAAAAGTTAATTTATATTATATTTACCTTTATTATTATAATATAAACAAAAGGTTTGCTTGAATAGATAAATAAATTTATTTATTTTTGATAAAATGATATATAGTATTAAAAGACTTACTTATTAACGTTGTAATCTCACAAAACTCAAATCTTTTAAAATAAGTATTTTTCCCTGATCAATGTCTGCTAGTAGAGTGGGATAGTTTATTAGTAAATATATTGTAAAAGTAAATAGAATTTTAAATAATCATTAATAAGATAAGTGTTTTTAAAAACTTTTTAATACATGTTTAATTTGCTTGAGTAAAAATAATTTACTGTTGTTTATTAATTTATTAATTTTATTTTTTGATATATTTTTTGATATATAAGCTGAAATTGTTATAACTATAAGTATAACAAAATTATTATCTAAGATCTATTTATAATTCTCTTCTATTAGGTAATATTTTATTACGATTATTTTATTAGTTAATTACTTATCACAATCCTTTCTTTATTACCTAATTATATCACAAGCCTACCATCATAATTCCATATACAGTATAACGATTCCTTCTTTGCTTACATACTTTTCTATCACAATACTTAGAGTACCATCTTTCACAGTACTCTAGCAGCGCACCATCACGTGACTGTGGTAACATCTCGTTTTTTACCCTCTGACGTTACATCGGGATAATACTGTATATTTGTAAACTGGAGATTATTTTCCACGATTATTGATATTATAATTTCTTTAGATAAGGTTAACTAAAAAAATTCAACTGTAATGCACAACAATCACAAGTAATACATAATCATGATTGATTAAATTAATTTCGGTAATCAATGCCTTACCTTTTTTAAATATATTAAATTTTCGAATTTTTCATTGTCAAATGTTATAAATAATTATTGCAGAATGTTTTAATTGTCAGAATTTCGTCAAGTTTCTTCACCGACTTCTTTCATAAACATGAAAATTTTAGGTATCTCACTTGGAATTTATGACCTGTTTGTATTGAGTTTAACATTACTCATTATAAGAATATTTGGTTATTATTACAAATATTATACGAGACAAGATCCACTTCCTGCTCCTTTTCCACTACCATTTGTTGGCCACCTATTTGACCATCTTATTTATAGTAACGATTTTTCCGAGTACTGTCATCGATTGCAAGACAAATACGGTGACGTTTATGAACAATGGTTTGGAAGTGAGCGTATTATATTTACTATTAGAATAGAATATATGGATAAGTTATTGTCACCATCAACTAAAAGCAAATATCTAGTGAGACTTCCTGATCCTGAAGGATTAAAAGAATTAGGTGTATTCGGAAAAGGACTTATACTTAACCACGATGTTAGTAATTGGAAATTTAATAGGCAGTTTTTTACCCAGGCCATATCAGCACCAAACTTTTTAAAAGAAACTGTTAATTATACTCAAGCAGCATTTAACGAGATGGAGGAGTGTTGGAAAATTGGATTAGACGATAATACCATTACTGATTTTTCAGAGTGGTCGCATAGTCTTGCAACGGACATCATATTTCAAATGATAACAGGGAAGAAAACGTGGGCCACGGCTTCTTATTTTTTAACCGTTTCTCCTGGATTAAATTCGGTTGATATGCAGAGATTTAATAAAGAAGACATCAAACAATCATCTGAATTATCAAAAGCGTTTCAAACGTATATAATGGGACTGGATTTTTTTACACTTTTTCCTAAATGGGTAAGACTCTATATCCCGGGTTTTAGAGAAACTCATAAAAAAATTTTAAACGCACGTGACATATTGTTTAATAGAATAGACGATATTATTAAGGAGAGAAGAAGAGAAATAGAAAGTCCACCAAAAAATGAGAAATTAAGATCTGACATGCTTACACTATTGATTACAGCAAATACGGATAGAAGTATCCCGGATACACAAGGCAACACCCAAGAATACACAAAACCTTTAACAGATGAGGATATACGCGTAATCATTATAGAAGCCTTGGGAGGCGGAGTTGACACCGTAAGCATGTATTGTTATTTAGTATAGTGCTATTATTTGTTGTTTAATCATTTCTTTTTAAAAATGAATTTATAGACCGCGAATGTATTCAGTTTTGTTATTTATTACCTTGCTCATCATCCCGAAGTTAAGAATCAATTACGTCAAGAAATTGATGATACAATTAATGATCGATCAATCACATACGAAGACTTATCACTCCTGACCTACTGCGAGGCCGTAATTAAAGAGGTCTCTCGTATAATGGCTACATCACCCTTCATAGGTCGTGCTAGTTCTGAATCGGATTTGATAGGAGGCGTTGAACGGGAAGCGGGCACACGTTATCTTATTTTTACACCAGGAATCCATTTAAATAAAGATTTTTGGGTTGAACCAGAAAAATTTAACGTTGACAGATTTATTAATTTTAATGAGCAAGAGCAACAGAACGAGAAGAAGTATAGTTTGATGATGTGGGGTGGTGGATTAAGACAGTGCCCTGGTAGAAAAATGGCAATGATCGAACTAAAGTGCCTATTGGTTTTGACGTTCAAAAATTGGGATATTGACTTGGTAGATTTGAATGCACCATTGAAGAGTGAAGTAAACCTTGTTAGAAGTGCTAAAGATTTGAATGTTACGATTAAACCTCGAAACAACTAAATATGTTTAGAATGAATATTGATAGGCGCTAGTTGGTAGATTCCTATTTAAAACTACTTTCTTGTATAAGTACTACACAAATATGGTTAACCAGTATTTTTATATTATTTATTAAATATTGTCTGTCTTACAAACAAATAATTATTACATTCATTGCTATTGTTATTAAATAAAATTATATACTGTATGTATACGTAAATAAATGGCTGATTCTTTTTGAAAACGACAAAAAAGTTATATACGATATTTTGATCCCTATTTTTTGAACAATACATATACTATATAAATTCTAGGAGTACAATTATAAAGTCAAAAAAATCCCTGTCCGCCTTCAAAAAGAATTACCCAAATACTGTAACTTTGTTGCATTATATAAAATTACCGATTGATCTTATTTTTTATACTGTTACGTATAGGTGGTGATCGGCGAGTCTGTCACTAAAGTTAGCTCAGATTCGCGTAACGAAGGAGAGGGATTTTCTTATTGTTACTGTATTCAGGTGACGCGCGTAACTGATTTGACCGAAAAAACTTATTCTGTTTTATTAGATTGACTTTTCTTTTATACGATTATTTCAATAATCACATAATAAAGGACAATAAAGAAAACTAAAATAGACAAAAAAAGAAAACCAAAATAATAAATTGACATATCGTCGTCATGTCGTCATATTACAAAATTCATTTATTTAACAAGCAGAAAAGGTCACGTGGTTTATTAATAATTATACTCTTTATATTAATCGGCGGATTCACGAGGGATGCGACTATACATTCACCAGCTTTCAATATCATTGTATATACATCTAATTCTAACAACACGAAATGTCTTAAGTGGCGATGCATCAAGCAAACGACAAGAAATATAATTTTTAAATGTGTCGATTATAATTTTAGATATTAGTAAAGATGCCAGGATATCCATTCAAACAGATTATAGCTTTCCACACACACTAAGAATATACACCGCCATACTTTTAGAAAATGAAATAATTGTTTATATCGTAAGAAGAGAGTCATTCAATAATTATAGCCAAGAATAATAGACACTATAAAATTCAGTAATTTAAACATATCACATAGCATAATAAAATATCTTAATTACGTAATTAGCTAATGCTTCTTGATAAAAAACATTAAACTTGATCTTTGACGGTGAGAATTTTAAATTGAAAAGAGCTGATTATGAAATTATATTTTCATATTGATGTGTATTGAGTCACAGGTAGCTACCGGTGTTGCTGGTTTATATTCGAACCACAGCAAATATAAAAACCTGGTTCTTAAATTTAAATTAAAACAAAAAAATGGTCAAATAATTATTTACGGTGATATTCAAGTCCATCCTAACCTTGCAGTGTTGAGTACAAGCGTAAGGTATATTCAACCTCTTTCGACTGGTCTTTTTGATTCACCGCCTTTATCCGAACATTCTCTTCCATATATGGCAATTTAGTATTGTTGCCTTTGATAAAATAATAAGTAAAACGCAAAATCATGTTTAATTTATAAAATTACCAAATCAATGCATGATTTGTTTAGGCCATATCACAAATACAAAAGGCGCCACCTCAAATCTAAATAATAAACCTGTGCATTCCAAACATTACGAGCTATTCATGGGCCAATTCATTTGTGGATTTATATTCCTAATACTGTACTAGCAAGGATTCGCGAGATTTTAACAAACAAAATTAATGATTAGTTTATGTACATCTTTGGGTTTTCTGTTGCTTTTTGTTATTTTTGGAATTTTTGTGTACTCAATAAAAACTTGAAAAATAAGTTAATAGATTCATTTGTAAAAATATGGTAAAACAAATAAATAAATGATTTAAGAGAAATGGGTGACAAATGGTTATACAGCATAATTTTAGTATGATAATACTAATAAATTATAGAATTTTTTTTTGGAAAAATAATTGAAGATTTAAATTTCGTAAATTATTAAGTGTACTCGAATTTTCATTATACTGCACATGGATTGATTTGGTTTCATTCGATTCTTTATATTTTTACATATTTTATGGATTTCAAGATTTTAAAAAGCGTTTAGGTCTGTTAAAATCACAATAATGTTAAACTTGAATTTATTTTAAAAATCTAAAATATTCATTTTATAAAATACAAAAAAAACGTTAAAAAAAGAAAGATATATTTTTAAATTAAAATCAAATTTATAGTTTAGAAGAAATCCTTAAAGTAAATAATATTTTTTTAAAAAATAAATTTTATAATATTAAATATTGATATGGATATTAAGATAACAGAGATCATAAAAGAGAAAGCACAGCATACAGTTACAATTGTAAAAAACAAAATTATAGAAATAAAAGAATTGACAGAATACGAAAATGTCAAGCATTAACCAAAGTATATATGGTGAAGATAATTATATTGGTCTTTAGCTTTTCTTTCTGGTTTTATTAATTATTTATTTTGCTAATTTAGTCTATTTTTTATATACTATAATTGGAAACACGTGTATAAGAAACTTGACTAATGAATAAAGCGAATTAGAGTAAGAGTTGTAGAAACTAAGTGTAATAAGAAATTGATGTGTATAATGAGTGGAGTTTGTTGTGATGCGTTATGACTAGTAGCATCATGAGTTTGATATATTTTATAGGAAATCAGATCAAGTCGTTATGCATCTACTTTAAGTTTGAAAGTTTGAACTGTCAATTGTATCCATGTACGGGCACGTTAATAATGTTTAAATAAAAAACATGTAGGTTAGCGTGTATCTGTACCAGGAATTACCAAGACATTTTTTTCTCTTTTTTTGATATAAACAAGAATTATACTGATAATAATAACAAATCCCAAGAACCCTAATGAGGAATATAGGCCAATTAATAATTTTTGATTATCAGAACTTGATTTATCATTATTATCATTATGTGGAATATTTGGAGTCGGAGATGGTGTAGGTAAAGTTACAGTTGACGACGACTCAGGGTGAGGTTCTTCGGGAGCTACAAATGAACTGACCCATGTATAACTTGTAACATTAAATAAGTACAGTTTATCATTATAATTTGATGTATTTCCTTGCGGATTTGTAATATAACCTAATTTACATAAGGAAATTAGTCAGTATGAAATGAAATAAAATTTATATTTACAGTATATACCGTATTTACCAAATGCGATAATCATATAATCCCTATATAAATTCACCGAGTGTTGAGCTAAAGGAGGAGGATCATTTGGTCCAATCGAAAGGTTCGGGACATACCAATTGTATGGTGTAGCGCTTGTGTTTAATATTGCAAGGTTCTGAGTAATTAAAGTGCGGTATAGACCTTCCCCTCCGTAAATGAATATCTGATCCCTTCTAACTTTTGGAGGTGGTTTAAAAATACAAGTTTATGAAACAGTATGCTTAACTTTTCAACCATTCTTGCAAATAAAATAAATATACACACCCAGTATGGCGGTATGAGACATTCGTGACTGTAAATCAGTGCCTGTAGCTACCTATAATTACGATACAATGTAAGTTTAGTGTTATAGAGTATTGTATATTGTATGTTATTGTTTCAATTCTTACCATTGAGGACCAAGTTGACAGTCCGGTATTATAAAGTTGAAGCTAATTAAAGTCGTAAATATTAGTATATGTTTAATATTTAATAAGAGTAATATTAAGCTAACAAATATTACTTGGCTCAAAGAAACTATTGCTTGTGTTTGGTTATTAATTAGCTCCCTTCCTCCAATATAAACAATTATTCCATTTTCTAAGAGTGTGGCAGTGTAATCAGATCGAGGATATGGAGTATCCGAAGATGGTTGAATATTTGTCCAAGTATTTGTATGAATATCTAAAATATTTAGATCATTGTAATAGTAACCAGCAAAGGAAGTATAGTTGTATACTTCACTTCCACCGAAAATATATACTTTCCCAGTACTATCCAATACTGCATTAATTTCCTGTCGTCTTATTGGTTCCGTACCCTTCGTGTTAAATACGTTCCATATTGTCTTATTAGTGTCGAATGTAAATACCGTCGCAATAAATTTCGGCGATTTTGTAGCAGGATCTGCCATATATCCACCAATTAAATAAATTGTAGAATTATCAAGCGGACTAATAATTGATGTCGAATAGACAGGTGAAATTGGAACTACTGCTTCCATTAATGATTGCCATGGAGGAATGCTGGTCTCAAATGATTTAGATAAATCCAAGAAAAACGTTTCGCTCGAATAAATGCCGGATTGGGTAAATCCTCCTATGTAATAAATTCTTTTTCCAATTAAATTTTGCGCTGTACCCACTCTAGGGACTGGCGAAAAGCTAAAAGTTTCTGTAATGAGCCATAAAAACGTGAACATAAAATATATATTACGTAGCATGTTTATAAATTCAAGCGGAAAAGTGAAGTCCCAAACAGATGGTCATGAACTATCAATTTATGGTAAATACTAAATATTGAACTATGTACACCTTGTACTTTGTACTCATTTCCATAAACATTCGATGATTATTCTTGTGACTATGATCAAATTTTAGAAATTGCAACATCGTACCATATTTTGATTACACAAATAAGTAAAAAGCCATTGTTCTAGTTATTCCTTATAATCTTTGTTCTTTAAAACAGCAAATAAATTCCTTTTTTTTCTCGGATTTTCTTATTAAAGTTTTCATTAATAAAAATATAATTTTGGTAAAATTAAATTTTAGGATGCATGTATCACATTAATTTCCCATTAACAAAAACTTTTTTTTTCGAATATTTTAATCTTTGAAAGAATTAATTTGTTTTCTTACATAATTTTTTTTTTGTTACAGCGCATTGAGGTTTCCAAAAAAGGTAATCTACCCCGTTATTTTCGTTATTTATTTCTTTTATTTGTGTATCCTGTATAAAGAAACAATGTTAATAAAGGGAAGAGAAGAGGCTTGAAATATCTGGGGGTAATGAAGCATCGGAACTCAGATAAAAAAATTTCACTTACCTAATTCGTCATGTCCAATATCTTTTTTCCGCCTTACAACTCCGTATCAGAGTTTTAGTTGCTATTTTCGGCGCACTACTCGTGCGGTACCCTTACGGTGCTTGTGCAGGTGCGCTTACAATGACTTCAAGTGAAATTTCCGGAAATCCCTTACATTATTACAGTACGAAAATATATTATATAACATGTTTAACCAAAAATTTTCACAAAAACTAGCAAAATAATTTAAATAACATTTTAATGTGTGATATAAAATCTATATATTTATAACATATTGAAATCTTATCTAAAAAAATCGCCAGTGTTTGAGAAATTTTATATAAACTATAAAATATACACACTGTATATACTGTATACTGTATACCGAAAATTGCGCAAAATTATTGATCATGATAAATATCTCAAGAGATTATTATCGTTTTAATATAAAATAAATTAAACTTGTAAATAATTAAAATATACAAATAAAATATACATGTATAGACAATGATAAAAATAAACATAAAAAAGCAATTCATTAATTAATAATAAATAAATAAATAATCAAATAAATAAATAAAGATTTTTAATTAAATTGGTAAGACGTGAATTTCTTTTTCTCTTATTAGAAAAATAAGAAAATTTCACATCATTATCTTGATTTGTATTTTCTGATAGATCAATAAAAAGTTTTTAAAAATTAGATAATGATAACTCTTTATTTATCAATAAATAATTATTATTAATTTATCATTAAAATTATTATTATTTAAATTATTATTTTTAAATATTTTGTTATTATCAAGGTCTTTGATATTTGCCACATTATCATCTATTTTATTATTGTTATTATTATTTTCATAATTCCTTTCTTCAAAAGTAACCAAGAATAAAAAATTTTGAGAATTTTTCAATTGACAATTTAAAATATTAAAAAAAATGATTGCAATTAAATCCAATAAATTCATAAACCATATAAAATATTATTATATCTAAATTTATACTATTATAAGATTGTAAATTAAAATATTTTTTAAAAATTTTGATTGATATAATATTATTAATTTGAAAAGGTTACTAAATATAGCTATATACTGTAATCAATCATACTGTATACTTTAAAAATTCATAATAATATGAACAACAACAACAATAAGAAATTAGTTATAAAGATTTAAATTCTGATAAATTATTTTTTTTAATTTTATATTATAATTTTAAAATAAATTATAATATATTTGTAATATAGATATTAAAAAAAAATAATAAATAAATTACATAATTGTATAACTAAATATAAATCCAATAGAAAAAAAAGAAAAAAATTGGTAAAATGAAAGTATTTAATTATTTTTCCAAAAATTCTCAAAATATTTATATAATTTTAAAAAATACAGCAAATTCAAAGTACCTTAGTTTAAAAACCTAGTTGTTAATTTTTTTTGTAATTTTAAATAACTATTTGTAAAAATATTAGAAGAATAACTTTTGTTATTAAAATAATAATATTTTAAGTAATTTTACTTTTTCTTTTATGGATAAAAATTTTTTTAATAATTATTCAAGTTGAAATAAATAATTATTTGATCAATCTTTTATTTGTATAGGTAAATGAACTATAAATAAATAATTATATTAAAAGCAACTAAAATTGATCAAAACATTATAAAAAGATTTATTTTTTCTTAGCTTTAAAAAAAAAACCATTGTAAAAATATTATTATTATATATTTTTTCTTTATATGTTTTTGTTATTTTTTATTGAAATTATTGAAATTTAATTTTTATATATTATTGTCTTTAATTCTAATATTAGGGCAAAAATTGTAAAATTTACTAAAATAATAATTTTGAATTGTTTATATTAATTTATTTAATAGTATTTAGTATTTAAAAATAAACATATATTGAATAAATTAAATTATTGAGAATTGAAAATTATTTTTATCAGTAATTTTGAAATCTGTCAAGAAATAAACTGAAAATTTCAATATATTAACTTGTAAATTTTATTTTCTTTTAATTTTTTTTTAATATTTTTTAAATACTTTCTTCTATTTTTTTTTATGTTTTTATGTTTTTTTATTTTATAGAAATACCTTATTTATTGCAAGATTAAATTGAGACAGTTCTTAATTTGCTTTTCTAAAATATTAACAATAAAATAATATATTTTTAATATAATTATAAAACAATTTTTATAATGTTTTTGTTATCATTTACAGTTATTATATTAATTGATTATAATCAATTTGATTTTACATTATTTAATATAAATTAATAATATAATAGTATAATACAAGTCAACCTTCTTATAACGACACTGCTATATAATAACATCCTTCTTAAAATGATCAAATCTTATTTTTTTGATTCATTTTTATTAAATATTGTCTCCTTATAATGACATTTCTATTTAAACTCTCTATACCAACATAATGACCAAATCTGCGAAATCGATCATAATACTCTGATCCCCTTATAACGACAATTCTTTATAATGACATATCCTTATAATGTCGTTATATAATGAATATATAGAATAGCCAATCAAAAAAGCTAATTTTATTTGTGTTTGGTCGACCTGCATATATTCATTATCATTATACCTGTTACAAATTTAATCTTACCATAAACAAAATAGTCTAATTAATCTCTCTTAACCACCCTTATTTCTCTTGCATTAAATGAAACCTACCATAAGAGCTCTAATGGTAACAAACGCAATTTCAAATACTTCCGGCACGAATACTACTAAACGAATATTTCTCATGAGCACCACAGCCGATCTAACACTGGAAAGGGGTAACTAAGATAAGGTAAGAGACAGTTTTTTTTGGCAATGTTTCTTTATTATTATGCACGACCCACTTATATATACAAAACATTCTCCTATTTATAACTGTGCATCACTCTAGAATGGCTTATAAATAAACTTTCCTTACGTAACTATCTCCACATCAGTACCATGCTGTCATGACACTAAAAATGACATTATGCGATTATGATCCGAGAATCCTGCCCGTAACATTCACCCTTATATAAAAACATCAATCATTCTAGCACCGTCGACTTCATACCACCCCATATCTTCAAACGAAAACTTAACACAACCTTTTTTTTCACATTAACATAGGTGGTTGTGCCTGGGACGGATGAAACTTAAGCGAACTTCTTTTTTCTTTCTCAGCAGTCTTTCTTGATGACTCTATTAGACAGAGACTCCAGGAATACTTTCGAGTGGACAGTTTTCTCACATTGTGCCTGGGATGGGTGAAACTTCAAGAAAGGTAAGGTAGGAGATAAGAATAACATATAGGAGTGCACATTTAGACTAACGAGGTTTTATGGAAGAGAGGTTCAAATATTTGTGGTAATATTATTAGGAAATAAAGGAATGTTCCACTCTAGTCATTGTGTCTCAATCACCACCAAATGTTAATATTGATTAGTGTACCTGTTGCCACTTCTGGCATCACAGCCGATCCAATACTAGAAAGAGGTGACTAAGGTAAAAGACGATTTTTTTGGCTGTGATTCTTTATTATTGTGCATGACTCTCACATACACACAAAACATCTCCTATCTATACATGCATCTCCACTCTAGAATTGCTTACAAATAAACTTTTCTTACATCGCTATCTTCACATCAGTACTATGCTATTGCAATGCTAAAAATAACATCATACAATTGCGACCTGAGAACCCTGCAAACCAAAAGACATTATCTATTGAGAAAGTTCCCCTATACTCATTCTGACCACTATCATGTTTTCCGAATTCAACAATAATCTCATCACTATAGTACACAAAATAATTAATTATTCTTTCTTGACTCTTTTTTTTCGAATTAATAGTTAATGCAAATAAATATAGTGAGAAATA